TTTTTCATCTCCATAACTTCGATTTTCATGATTTTTGCAATTTTTTCGATTTTTCGCTGATTTTTCAAATTTTGTATGGCTCAACGGGCTAATTAACCTTCAGATTCAAATTCAACGGATCGAAATACATAAAAATCATACTTGATCCGGGTCAACAAAATTTTTCATCGCTGTAATGCAGTTTTCATATTTTGGGGGGTTTTTAGCATTTTACTACAATCTAGGACCTGACCGAGCCCAACGGACCTCAAATTCGGATTCAGCGGGTCGAAAAACATGTCCGTAGATGGGTCCGGTCAAATGCACAAACCATTTTTTTTGTGTGCCGGTGTTATTAATAGAAATTTAGAGATTAATAGAAATTTAGAATAATGGAGATAATTTTTAATAGAAAAAGTTGAAACAATCAAGAAAAAAACAATGGATGAGCATTAAAATTTTTTATTCCGCACGCTATTTTATATCATTTTAACTCAAAAGTTTTATTACCGCTTGTCTTGTCATTTTTTATGTAGATAATAAAACAAGTTACCGCTATGTCGGGTAAAATCACGTACATAAAAAAGTCAATAGCTGACAAAGAAGGTTACACGGCACTGGCTCATACAAGACTAGGTCATCGATGTCAACGTCCAGGAATTGAACTTACTCAGGACTTGGTCGAGGCCAATCTCGTGAAGGAGATACACGAATTACGAAATGTCGCGGCGAATCTGCAGCGAATGCTTCGCGAGGTTTGTGACAGTTTGCATTTTGTCGTACAGAATTCTAAAGACGGATCTAACAATGTGCACGTTATGTTCCCTGTTTTTTTTTATTATCGCTTTTTATCACCCTTGTCTTTTTGCCTCTCGTATCTCGATCCGTCATTTCCGGGATAAAAGCTGTTAACAAATTTCGAAAGAGAGACAGGAAATACATGGCAAAAAACATGATTGTCGATAAAACGCGGTCACAAGAATAGAAAAAGGCAAGAAGTAAAAAAACAAGAAGAAACAGGAAGCAAAGAGCATGTTGTGTGGATCCACCTTAAATATAGAATGCACACATTCGCAGCACTAGAGATGTAAAAAAAAACGTTTTTTTTCTGATAGAAAAAACATTAGAAGAAACGTATTTTATTTTATTGTAAAAATACAAATTTGGTTTTTGTTCTAATTCCGAAATTAATTAATTGTAAAGAGTAATTCTATAATTAATTTTAATGTGATCTACATTTAACTTTTACAAAAGGAGAATCTATTTAATTCTTTTTCCAAATAGCTTTTCCTTAAGTAGAACTTATTATAATTATTCATTGAAGTTCTTGCTTCAAAATACGTTTCAGAATCAATATACTGGCTTTCTCGTTCTGCATAACAGGTTAAAATGATGATAATTTAAAGAATTAGGCCACGTTTGAGGCCTTAACAGATACCTAAGTTTGGGATTTTTTGTGAGTAAACAGATAACTTTATTCAAAATCTTTTTAGAGGCATATGGCATTGCAGGCATGGTTTGATCTTAAACAAAATACAAAGAATTTTCATACGTATTGGAGACTAATAAAGTACGTAGGGGTTTTTTAAAATATTGATTTTTCTCTAAATGGCAGCTATTTTACGAAAAATGTGTATTTTTCGCCAGTACAAGTCTTTCTTAAAATAGCTGCCATTTTGAAAAAATCAATATTTTGAAAAATCCCTACGTACTTTATTAATTTTTAATATGTAGATAATGAAAATTCTGTGTTTTGTTTAAGGTCAAACTGTGTATCTGTACATCGATAGAAAAAAAGGGATTTTGCAAGTGTAGGCCAGTGCGCCGCCATTTTGGACACGAGAAAAATAAAAAAATATTTTTTTAGTTTCTTATATGTACAATGATATCCTCTAAACAGATTTTAAATAAATTATCCATTTACTCAAAAAAATTCCAAACGTTAGGTATCGTTCTAAAACCTCAAAGGTGGCGTAACTCCTTAAATCTACTATCTATAAAATAAAAAGTCATGAAAAATTAACTTATATTAAGCAAAATATAGATATTAAATAGATGGCTGAAAAAAACAAAATTTTGAGAAAAAAACGAGGCTTATGTATAGAAAAAAAACGTATTTTACAAAAAAAAAAATTTGGTTTTTTTTCTACTTACATCTCTACGCAGCACCGATAAATTTCGATAAATTTTGTACACATAGTATAATATTTTATTAATTACTACGAGATATATTACAGGCAGAGACATCGCTACGGTTCTTGCTTAAAACGCAAGTTCAACTGGAGGAGGATATTAACGTGAAGACAAATACTTTGAAAATTGACGAGGTCGAATGCATGACTTCACGTCAAAGTATAGATTATCACGCGTATTAAAACGCTAATATTAAAGCGTTTATATTCTATACAATATATTTACGATTTCTTCAGTTTTGCCGTATCTTGAACGTGATGTAATGTATTTTATTATCCATCAAAATTTTCGTGCTACATAAATTTTTATATACATGTATATCTTTTTATAAAATATATATAATCAAATTACAAGTGTGATACGTAAAAAGGTACCCTATAGGATCCTAATTTCTCATTGCAGTCGTTAGATTACAATATTAAAATATGCGTAATTATATTTTATTTTGAAAAGGAAAAAAAATTCATATTTTTAGCTTTTGATATTAATAATCGTACCACATTCTATATAGCTCGATCGCTACGAAACCAGTTTTGAGTTTATGATTAGAAAGTAGCTAATTCTTGTACATTATCTGCAAAAAATGATGAATGTAGGATTGCCCGATGATGTCACGGAAATAAAGCGTCGCGCGAAAGGCGAAATAAAAGTTGTTATGAAACGGGGTCATGTACCAGCGCGGATGCTTCTTCTTATACTTTTTGCCGGGGTAATCGCAGTCACGCGTAGTTGCAATCCTTCCTCTCTCCCTCTCCTCGAGAGAGAGAGAGAAATAAAGCGAAAACCACGGCGAATAGGCGAATGGATGGTTTCAAAGAAACCGGTACACGCACGCGATATACGAAGGAGGGAGGCCGGACGCTTTCGTGAACGGCCTAACCGACTTGTGCCGTTGCAATTTCATTTCAGTCTGTGCACTAACAGGAATCGAATCGGTCGGCGGATGCGCAAAGGTGCACTTATTCCACTGGTTGCGCGGAAGCTCATTTTCTTTGCGGAATCTTCTCCTACTTCTCGTATTAAATTGGAGAATTCGCGGCGCTTCGCAAGAATCACCCCGGTGCGGTACTGTGTGTGTGTGCGCGCAATGTGCAGTCCGTTGTAAAACGTGAGTTTTGTAATCGTGTGAATTAAGGTATTAATTATATATACATACTATATATATGTATATAAATATATATAAAAATGGGAGATATCAAGAGATGAATTTTTACTACGAATTTTAAGCTCCTCTTGTACTTCGGTCTTTGTGTGATATTAAAATTTAAAGTTAAATTAAACAAGCGATTTGTGGCAGCTGGATAATTTAAATATCTGTTTAATATAACTTGTTCGTGAAATATTTTTTTATGAAATCAGTCTGTGTGTTTTTTAACATTATTACAAATGGCGGATACTATATCGAAGATGTCAATTCATCACAACAATGGAATAAACATTACGCACACGGCCGATAAAAATTGTGTAAGTATATATTTTTGCAACAGCACTTTGCACCTATTCTCAAATAAATTTTTATTTACATGTACAAATATCGGTAAGATGGTGAGACAATAATTAAAGCAATTCAAATTGCCTCTAATGTATCGTATTTGAAACATAAAAATTCTTTCTCTTTGCATTAAAAAAATTTTAAATCACGATATCATTTCTCTTATTGTATAACCATTCATTAGTAATTGTTAATTATAAAAAATAAAGCACAGAATAATTGTTTAATTACATTTACATACGCATTTTTCATTTTAACAACTGCATAGAGAAAAATAACATTTGTAGAATTTATATATCTTACATACATATCTTTTAGAATGTCAACAATTTTTAATGAATGAGACATTTAAATTAAAATACTAGCTTTAGCCTGTTTTTTTAGATGTACATTCATCTACATTATATAAGTAACACCTGATAAACAGGTTTTACTTGAATTCTTTAAAAACCAGTTGATCTGTATCGCAATCTTTCAAACCCAGATAAATAGATAGTACATAAATAAACAGATATTTGTAAAGAATTAATTTTAAGGAACGTTTCAATATTAAAATTCAATGTTGTGTGAAATCAGAAAAATGATTGTCTGAAGATTTAAGTTTTTACTAAAGTTTTGATTTCACTAAAGTTGTTTACTTGCGAACAATACCGTCACCTACACAGATTCCATATTTCTCTAGGGTACATTCCGTTTCTCGCATAATGCGCTTAATGCATAATTTATCTCTAACAACAAAGATTTCAATGAATAATAAAGATAAGCGATGCAAAAAACGAAATACACCCGTACAGAAAAAGTAAAAACCGTACAGAATAAGATAAAAAGCGCAGCATTATGAGAACTTTCATTCATGCGTTAACTAACAAAATAATTCTTTGACAGCGAGTCCCCAAAATAGGGCTCCATGATGAAAATAAATGAGATATATATTTTAGCAGCACAGTTTCGTTTAGTTTTATACAAAAATGAATTGAGAAATTTTGCAGACGGCGATCATTCGGTCTTTTCCCTCTTTCTCTTTCTCTTTTTGTTCCTAAACTGTTCTATAAATTTCCAAAGTGTAAATTGATGATATTAGTAATTTCTTAAGATATTTTTATTGTATAATTATTTTTCTATGAATTTCTAAAGAATTATAGATCAGGAAAGAAGAGTACTTAAAGAATAACTTTGAGAAATCTTTGTGCTATTTAGGTTTAAGTAATGACTTTTAAGCAAGCGATTGCACGGATATATTATACACATCTCTATATATTACTTTACTTGATTCAATGTCCATATAAATAAATTTACTGACGAACCGACGTCATCTTTATAAAATAAATCACTTTTCATATTTTTGGGAACTTGTTTTAAAAATTAATGGATTACATTTTTTAATATATTCGCATGTAACACGATGATTTATTTGCATAAAAAAAGCATATTTTTCGTTGTTCTTTATATATGCGAGAATATCTTCCTTGACATTTCGGAAACTTTTATAATATATGTATATCTTACACATTGGAATAATTGATGTCGCTATTGAGAATGAATTTCTTAACTTGTTTGGATCCGAAATATTAATAATTAATGTATAATTCAAAAATAAAGGGACATTACGCGAAGCAAATTTTGAAATAAAGACTACTATAGAAAATTATTATTTTTTTCATTGGGCATTATAGGTATAATTGTTGTGGCGAATTTTTTATTCTTATGGTGTTTCAGATATAAGTTAACGAGATACGTAAATCTGATATTTCTATAATTTACAATTAGACATCAATTTCCCGTTACGCTGAATCATGATGGAAACCGAATGTATATTAATGGTGTGAGATTTATATAATCAAGTCGTGACCCCGCTTTTTGTTTCGCGGAATAATCTTAAAGTGTCGCAGATGTACAGGCGTGTATATATCATCTCTTACATATAATTTTATCGATAAAGCAATACATACAAACGATAAAATGATGAAATTCGGAAAATTGAAAATGTCACTGTGAAAAAAAAAAACAAAGATGACCTATATATACGTACGCGGTAACTTAGAGAAAGTAAAAGATAAATCTGAAAATTTTAGGACTTTAGCTTTACGAGTTTCCAAACCAGTTTTTGTGATTATCATATTTGCGTATTATGAAATTTTCTTGCGTAATATTTAAAATAAGGTACTGCCTTAAATTCTGATAGTTTGATTCGACTGTATATGTAGTGGAACAAACTCTTATAGTTTTGAAATATACAGGTTCACGCGAAATAATAAAATATAAAAATAGATCTGATCTGAATAATTTTAATAGAAAAAAATTAAAAAATATATAATAATTAATAAAAAACAAAAACAAATTATATTTATATAAAAATAAAAAAAATATACTAATTATTAAAAGATAAAAACAAATTATATTTATGTACAATTATTATATTGCAAATTGTTAAAATAAAAGACAAAATTGAGTTTTAACGAAATAAATTCGAAAAAACCTACCTGAATTAAAAACTATTCTTTTATATAATAATTAGAATGTAGGGTCACTAATATATATCTCATCCCACTTGTTTTATTTCGACGAATTAAGGAGATATAAAATCAAATGTTATCAAAATAAAATTTCATTTATTTTATATATATATATGTATATATATATATATAATGAATAAAATTTTATTTTTATAACATTAACAATATTTAACAACAAATTAAATATCATGGATATCTCATCCCATTATTCCGATCCAAATTAAGGAAATATAAAATCAAATGTTATCAAAATAAAATTTTATTTATTTTATATATATATATATATCCATGATATTTAATTTGTTGTAAAATATTGAATAACACTTATACACATGGATGCTCCATTTTAATCGATATACCTTTCTCCAGAATTAAAGTAACATGAAACTGCGGTTTTCTCACATAATTTTTTAAGGAGACACATTTTTTATAAAAACAAATGCAATTTGTATACATGCGCACATTAAAATTCAAATCAAGATAGAATTATTATATCAATTATTGTTCATAAAAATATCGCCTTTCACCACGAGATAGCAGTATTGTCGTATTATTGATTATATGTGGTATATATATAGAGACCACGCGGAAGTCTATCCGCTGGGTGAAATCTGCTGCAGGCTATCCAGCTGTGAATTACATAAAGCCTTCGGGAGTTACCTCTAATACATTCGTGCGGACAAAGAGCGATATGTCAATCGTCAAAGTAATTCCATAGCCGCGAAGTGCCACGCGGGGGATCCGCGGGGTGTATATAGACGCATATATCCTCGATGGTGATTTGAGCGTGACGTGTATTTTATATGCGCGGTAAACACACGCGATTCAAAAGAGTCTTGCAAAAATGCGTGCTAGCTCCGTTTAGGACACACGCCGCGTGGAGGGGACACGGCTCTGCCTTCGTAGTAAGTATAACGCGCGACGTAGGCGCGGAATAATCGGGCTGCACACGCCGGTTTGCTCAATCCGGAAACGTGCCCTCCTGAACCGCGGGACGCCGGAGGTGACAAGGACACAGGCGCGCGCGACCGCGCCGCGAGTGCGATGACGTGTGGGGGTAGAGCGCGCGATCTTGTCGACGCTAATCCGAAATTTGCAATCGTCGCTTTTAGCAAGCAATGTTAGATGGCGCCAAATACCTTGTTTCGACAATCATTCGATGACTCCAAATGACTCCGATATTCAGGGCTGGGCAAAATACACCATTAAAGTATTTAAAATACAAAATACAAAATACTAGGAATCTTGGTATTTGAATTACAAAATATAAAATACTTTCAATCTTTTGATTTGAAATACAAAATATAAAATACTTTTAATCTTTCGATTTGAAATACAAAATACAAAATACTTTTAAGTTTGTATTTGAAA